CAATAAATCCCATTTGAATTCAATAGTCTTCATCATAAAAGATCCAGTACAAGAACTATCGAGCATGGAGCGATTATTGAGAGAAAGCCAAGCATAAAAATTTTGAATAATCATTTCTCTTGAGAGCTCACGATTGGGGCATGCATATAACATTGACTTAAGCCTCCCCCAAGCTTGAGCGATGCTTTCTCCTTCGCGGGGCTGAAAATTATATATAGAATTACGATCACGATGAACAAGATGCATAGGATAAAACTTCTGATGAAATTCTAATTTCAATCGTTTGTAGTTCCATGATCCCATATCATCACATAGCCTATACCACGTCAATGTCTCTCCCTTCAGAGATAAAAGGAAGACCTTCTTCTTGATAACATCATCGGGCATACCTGCAAGCTTAAATAATCCACAAACTTCATCCACATAGATTAAGTGTAAATCAGGATGCAATGTTCCATCTCCTGCAAAAGGATTAGCTAACAGTTTCACTATCATATCTGAAGGAATTTCAAAGTAAACATTTTCAGTAGGTTGAGGAGCAACTCTTTGCTCTACTGGTCGGGGTGAAGATACCCCGAACAAGCCCCTCAAAGGATTATGTTCCATAGTAACAAGTGACAGTAAATTTCAGCACACAATATAAATATTTCCTTACCAAATTCCACCTACCAAAGGCGCTTCACTCCCTGGCAACGGCGCAAGAAAAGAGTCTTGATGAACCACAAGTGCAGGGGATCTATTGTAGCCTTTTCGATAAGTAAGAGTGTCGAACCCAACGAGGAGCACAAGGAAATGATAAGCAGTTTTCAGTAAGGTATTCTCTACAAGCACTGAAATTATCGGTAACAGATAGTTTTGTGATAAGGTAATTTGTAACGAGTAGCAAGTAATAAAAGTAAATAAGGTGCAGCAAGATGGCCCAATCCTTTTTGTAGCAAAGTACAAGCCTGGACAACCTCTTATATGAAGGAAAGCGCTCCCGAGGACACATGGGAATTATCGCCAAGCTAGTTTTCATCACGTTCATATGATTCACGTTCGGTACTTCATAATTTGATATGTGGGTGGACCGGTGCATGGGCACTGTCCTTACTTGGACAAGCATCCCACTTATGCTTAACCCCCATTGCAAGCATCCGCAACTACAACAGAAGTATTAAGGTAAACCTAACCATATCATGAAACATATGGATCCAAATCAGCCCCTTACGAAGCAACGCATAAACTAGGGTTTAAGCTTCTGTCACTCTAACAACCCATCATCTACTTATTACTTCCCAATGCCTCCCTCTAGGCCCAAACAATGGTGAAGTGTCATGTAGTCGACGTTCACATGACACCACTAGAGGGATGACAACATACATCTTATCAAAATATCAAACGAATACCAAATTCACATGACTACTTATAGCAAGACTTCTCCCATGTCCCCAGGAACAAACGTAACTACTCACAAAGCATATTCATGTTCATAATCAGAGGGATATTAATATGCATAATGGATCTAAACATATGATCTTCCACCAAGTAAACCAACTAGCATCAACTACAAAGGAGTAATCAACACTACTAGCAACCCACAGGTACCAATCTGAGGTTTGGATACAAAGATTCGAGACAAGAGACGAACTAGGGTTTGAGATGAAATGGTGCTGGTGAAGATTTTGATGGAGATTGGCCCCCTCCCGATGAGAGGATTGTTGGTGATGACGATGGTGATGATTTCCCCCTCCCGAAGGGAAGTTTCCCCGGTAGAACAGCTCTACCGGAGCCCTAGATTGGTTCCGCCAAGGTTCCGCCTTATGGCGGCGGAGTTTCTTCCCAAAAGCTTGCTTATGATTTTTTCCTCGACGAAAGACTCCATATAGCCAAAGATGGGCATCAGAGGGCCACCAGGGGGCCCACGAGGCAGGGGGCGCGCCCAGGGGGTAGGGCGCGGCCCCACCCTCGTGGATGGTGGGTGGCCCCCCTCTGGTACTTTCTTCGCTCAGTATTTTTTATATATTCTGAAAATAACTCCCGTGGAGTTTCATGACTTTTGGAGTTGTGCAGAATAGGTCTCTAATATTTGCTCCTTTTCCAGCCCAGAATTCCAGCTACCGGCATTCCCCCTCTTCATGTAAACCTTGTAAAATAAGAGATAATAGGCATAAGTATTGTGACATAATGTGTAATAACAGCCCATAATGCGATAATTATCGGTATAAAAACATGATGCAAAATTGACGTATCAGCCTCCTAGACCCCCTGGGGTTGTCCTTGTTGCCGGTGATGCCCTGCAACCACTGCGCCACCGTCTCCTCATCGGCTTCTTCCGGGTGGATTCGGATGATGTCTTTGATACCCAGTACATCCACATTGGATGATCGCGGGCTTAGAGTGGCTGGATACGTCGACCGAGGAATACCTCTAGCAAGTCCATGCCAGTCACCCCATCACGGACAAGTTGGACTACTCGATCAACTAGCATATTCACCTCCGCTTTTTCAGCTGGATTCACCTTCAAGGGGCAGGATTTCTCAACTCGACCCATGGAAAATGGGGGAAGGCCAGTCGACTATCTAGGAGTCGGCTAGTGCTTGCAGTAGAACCAGGTAGACTGCCAACCTCTGACTGACTCGGGAAGAATCATAGCTGGGAAAGTGCTCTTACCCCTCATCTGGATTCCTAAACCTCCACACATCTGGATCACATGTGTCCTCTCATCACTCGGATTAGCCTTTTTTACAGACTAAGAACGACAAGTGAAAATGTGCTTGAAGAGACCCCAGTGCGGTCGACACCCCAGAAAGTTCTCGCACATGGACACGAATGCAGCAAGGTATGTGATAGTGTTGGGAGATAAGTGATGAAGTTAGGCTCCAAAGAAATTCAGAAAACCCTGGAAAAAGGATGTGGAGGCAAAGAGAATCTGCGGTCGACGTGAGTGGCGAGAAGGACACAGTCACCCTCTTACGGCTGCGGCTCAGTCTCGTCCTCCGGAAGCTGCCAGGAGTCGTGGGGAATCAATCCCCCCTCCACCAGATCCTCCAAGTCCTCCTGCTGGATCGTCGATCGAATCCAGTCGCCCTGGATCCAGCCGGGCGGCAGGCTAGATCTCGACGACGACCCGCCCCGGCTCGTCTTCCTGCCCTTTGCCTTCGCCGTCGCCTTCTTCGCACGCTCCAGGGCCGCCGTCTTGTCCTTCGCCATCGTAGCGGGTTGCGCTTGGGCCGGGCGGCGGCATCGAGGGAGGAGGCGGGCGCAGTGGAGAAGCAGAGGAGGAAGAAAGGAAATGGGGCGCATAGTGCAAAGGTACCGGCCCATATGCCTTATATGGGCTTGTTCGCGGAGTGACTGACTTGTGGGCCCGAGCAATCCTGTCAAATCCCGCAACAGTCGCGCGCGCAGTACGTGGCGAAAAAGGTGGCATGGGGGTCGAGGCGCCCCAGCCTAATCCACTCTGATTACCGCGGCCCTCTCCGCCCCGCGCGCTTCCCCAAATTTTGAATCACGCGAGATCCAGGAACGACAGAGCGGTCAATCATGCCGAAGATTTTATACCATATTAAACACTCGAAGCTTATCAACAAAGTTCACTCGATAACTTCTGAATGGCTCAAGGCGACTGAAAATGAAGTTGAAGTTTTTGCATGGTTCGCCAATCCAAGTAAAATGCTTCCGAAGCATGAAAGTTGGGTCGGAACCACCTTCAACTCCATCTTCACTCGGGCCCAGAACCATTCGGGGGGTAATGACGATGACATGTACCTAGGGTAGGGCAATAGACCTGATCTAAGCACCCTACCCAAGGACATTGCCCTACAGTCAAGGACATTTAAAGGACAACGGATTCTACCGACTGAAATCACCACACGACACAAACCCACTCGACTGAGAGTTCACCCGGATAGCCCAATTCCATTCGACCAAGATATATTCATTCGACCATACTGGAAACCACTCGGAGAACAGAAGATCTGAGGTCACTCTGAATGACAATGGTCAGGCGTTCACTCCGTAGTCTTAATGATCATTTATATGTCTTTATTGTTGGCGTTACCAGTAACGTCCTATCTTTATGTACATTGAACCCTGTGTAAGTGAGGGCCGGAGGGGTCTGGCGAACTCTATATAAGCCACCCCTCCTCAGGCACAAGGGTTCGCATCCCCTCTAACTTCCTTCGCGAAGGGCCTGAACTCGTAAATCTCATGTGCACAACTTCACCGTAGCTAGGATCTTGCCTCTTCATACATACCCCCTATTCTACTGTCAGACTTAGAACCACAACGCCCAGTCCTTTTGCTATGTATAAATATTATTCCAAAATATAATGAAAATCTATTATCCTCTTTATTTGACAATTCCGGTTGGATGGCCTCCATTGCTGATTCAACAAAACAAAGAAGTCTTTACCCCAAGACAAACTCTGAATCCCTAAAGTTGTTCGCGGTCATTTTCGGGACGTGTCACGAATATTTCATGACGGCCGTTTTGATGATTGATGTTGAAGTTAGTGTAGCTAGGTTTCAGTTGACCGAAACTCAAGTGACACAATACGTAAGAAAAATAAAATAAAGAACAAGCATAAAACAAAAATTTACATGGATCAATATAAGATCTTATGGATATAGCATCGAGATAGATTTAGCCCTTAATATTTGGGAGGGACGTAGTAGTGGAGATTTTTATTTTATTTTGAGGGTTTGTAGTGCTAGTGGAGATCTGTAATGATTCCTCCCATGCATGCATGTGCACGGGCGTCCCCCATGCAGCACATGCTGATCAGAGTGCAACATTGAAAATCATATCATTACCTAGAAGATACACAGTGCCGCACGTAGAGTATTAAATGGCACATGCCCGATCGGTGTGGCCATTATCGAGCTTCTGCTTCCCACCTTTCTTCTCATAGTAATAGTAGTTGTCTGCTGCTGCTCCATGTTCGATCCGTCAAATCCGGCCGGGCATCAGCCGCACCACTCCTGTCCTGTCAACAGTTAACACTGCCAACCCCGTCATGGAAGACGGGTCCACGAGAGAGCGGCCGGCCATGGAAGACGCCGTCCTCCTCTTCCTCCTCCCCGTGGCCACCATCCTGTGCTGCACGCTACTCCTCCGTGCTGCTCGCTCCCATCACTCCAAGTCCGCCCCGCCGCCTTCCCCGTGGCGGCTCCCGCTCGTGGGCAACCTGCACCAGCTCGCGGGCGGCCGCCTCCCGCACCGCACGCTGGCCGCCCTCGCCGCCGCGCACGGCCCCGTCATGCTCCTCCGCCTCGGCCAGGTCCCGGCCGTCGTCGTGTCCTCGGCCGGCGCCGCGCGGGAGGTGATGCTGGCGCAGGACCACGTCTTCGCCACCCGCCCCTCGCTCGCCATCCCCTCCAAGCTCTTCTACGGCTGCACCGACGTCGCCTTCGCCCCGCACGGCCCCTACTGGCTGCGCGCCCGCAAGACCTGCGTGCTCCACCTCCTCAGCCCCGCCAGGGTGCGCGCCTACCGCGCCGTCCGGGAGGACGAGGTGGGCGCGCTCCTGGACAAGGTCCGGCGGCAGGCGCGCGTCGTGCCCCTGAGCGAGCTCCTGGCCGTGTTCGCCAAGAACGTGATCGGGCGGATCGTGTTCGGGGCGAGCGCCGCCACGCGCGCCGACGGGTGGGGCGCCAAGGTGGACGCGCTGCTGGAGGAGGGCAACGCGCTGCTCGGCACGTTCCACGTCGGCGACTACTTCCCTAGCCTGGCGTGGGTAGGCGCCCTGGACGGCACCGACACCAAGGTCGGCAAGGCGTTCGACAGGATCGACGCCGTCCTCGAGGAGATCGTCGACGCCGCGGAGAGTCGCATGGGCGGAGTCCACGGAGGCGACGCGCTGGGGCGGCACGACAGCACCTTCGTCGACGTGCTGCTGTCCCTCGGCAACAACACCTCCGGCACCGGCACCGGCGGCGCGTCCACGGAGCGGCGATTCACGAGGGACAACGTGAAGGGGCTCCTAGCGGTACGCGCACTGAATGAGTCACTCACTGACTGACTGTGACTTTACCTAAAAATTCACGTCGTATTTCCTGCCGGACACGCAGAATCTGTTCGGGGCAGGGGCAGACTCCACCATCATCGTGCTCGAATGGGCCATGGCAGAGCTGCTCCGCAACAAGGAGGCCATGGAAAAGCTACAAGACGAGCTAAGGAGTAGATCCGTAAGCACCAACTCCGATATGATCACCGAAGAAGATTTACAGGGGATGGTCTACCTGAAAACGGTGATGAAGGAGACGATGCGGCTGCACCCTCCGGGGCCGCTGCTGATCCCCCGCGAGGCCATGGAGCAGACGAGGATCCAGCAGTACGACGTGCCGAGCAAGACCATGGTGATCGTGAACGCCTGGGCCATCGGAAGGGACCCGGGCAGCTGGGAGTCTCCGGAGGAGTTCCGGCCGGAGAGGTTTCTCGGCACCGGCGGCGAGGTGGACTTCCGGGGCCGGCATTTCCAGCTCGTACCGTTCGGTTCCGGGAGGAGGGTGTGCCCGGGGATCAACTTCACCATGTCCATCGTGGAGATCGCGATTGCCAACCTCGTCGGCCGGTTCGACTGGGCGCTGCCGGAGGGCGGGACGGAGGAGGTGGTGGACATGGAGGAGGCGCCTGGGATCACCTCGCGGAAGAGGGTTCCGCTTCACGTCCTGGCTGCACCGTGGGCATTGACGTGAAGTTCGGATTCATGTTGTGCTCCTCGAATTGATTATAGAAATTTCAAAGCTATGTGATGCAACTATTTCTTTAACAACATTTTTCTAATATCAAGAAGATATCAAATATGCTTGTCCTCTGTAGCAATGCAACGTCATACATCTATACCTAACGTACTAATAAAGTATGTAGGGACGGCGAAAATCCATCTCCGCATCCGAGCTCATCTGCACCCGCGCTGATGAAAAAAATCAAAACAAATACTAAAAAATCCAATTTTTTTTGTGTGGTAGACAATTTAATGCCTGAGGTGCGCTCCAATTTTCATATCATTTGGACATCCGAGGAGATCTCATCAAAAAAGACAAATTGAGAGTCTATAAAAATGTTTACTGTTCACGTACTGTTTTGGCCCGATTTGTCTTTTTTGCTGAGAGCTGCTCAAATGTCCAAATGACTTAAAACTTAGAGCGGGTCTCACGCATCAAATTGTCTACCGCAGATTTTGTTTTTGGAATTTTTTGTATTTTTCTGAATTCTTTACGAATTTTTTCTAACCGGATGCAGATGAGCCTGGGCACCGAAACGCCCTACTCGGAGGGACGGAGCGTTTCTACTCGTTCACCGTCAGCATTTTTACACAATAGCCCCTGATTTTTTTATTTTAATAACCCGCGGTTCAATATTAATTGCCCTTTCTCTGTTGGGCTTCGCCCAACTGCGGTAGTCGCTATCTGGCGCGCCTAGGCGCTGGTTAGTATTCCGCATTTAGCCTCAGTAGGCCCAATTCGCTATGTTTTCAGTCTGTCTAGGTCCCTACTTTTATTATTTACAGAGATGTTAAATATTATCATACTATAATTTTGCAACCGTAACTCAGATTATTATTTTTATATATGTATGTTGATAAAAAATGCGTAGTTTCCAACCGTGCTATTATTTTTTCATGTTAACTACTTTAAAATTATTTTTAATGCATAACCTTAATTAACCTAATTAATTGCAATGGTGTATTTTGGAAAATGCTAACACACAATATAACTAATATATAGCCTTTATATCTATGAAGTATGTTAGGAGGGCCTATATGGATTGGAGAGAGTATGGATGATCGGCTTCGATGGGCATATATGAGTAATAAAAAAAGGAGAGAATAAAGGGCGTGACCAGTGGGGATAAAAAAATGATGGGATATTCAAAAAAAATGGAGGAGAGAATAATGCAAAGAAATTGGTATTAAGACCAAGAACATGGCATGCATTCAATGCAATAATGAGAAGGAACTAATACCGAGGGACATGGGAGGGGGACGCATATATGTGTTGCTATGCAGTGTGTGACCGTTATGTGCAACAGAAATAACACAACCAAACGGTGCGAGGCGCTATATGAGTGTCGAGTTGCATGCAATGAACTAGGGTAGTTTTGCTAAGACGTATACATTCTTTTTTTATTAATCTTCAAGCATATGTAAAGATGGCATAAAACGTATTTAATAGAATCCTTTTATTGAGATTTTTCTCATGACTTGGTGCAAATTTCAAACATTGCTTCAACTTACAAATAATTCATTGGTATGATATTTTCTTTGAAAATTAAGTTCTTTAAGACCAGAATCACTGTAAAAATAAAGTACCAAAATTATTGTATGTGTAGCATGCTTCTTAATGTACTACTGACATGAATTTCTGTTAGACCTTAGTATGCGCCTCTCCGCCATGGCCGGGCCCAATTTGAACATTGTTGGGCCGTGCTGACGGATATTTCAGTGGACATGTCAATTACCTCTTCCCTTGCAACACATGGGCATATGTGCTAGTGTATACAAATAGAGGATCAGTTTTTTTTAAAATTTGTCTCCAGTCGTTTTTGTCTGTTCTATCTGGTCTGCCTCTTTCCTGTTTGATTTGTAGTCGCAGGGGTTGTTCAGTTAGCTGCTTTTTGGGTAGGAACTTTTTGCGGTAGCTTAGTTCACCCATGTAATTTTGAGTGGTTCATGAGAAACGATCCCGAATATTTTGAAGCCACCTATGCGCGCGTGTCAGTCAGTCCCCAAATTTCATCGCCAAGTCCGCCTCATTGTTTTTCTGGATGTAGATCTCCGGTTCTACCAAGTGTTGAGTTACAACTTCACCACTAATCAGATGGTGTGGGAGTAGGCATTTGCCGGTGATTCGATTTTTGTGGGAGGGTCTATGCAATGTTTAGTAATGATTCAGGCGGCATTTTCGGCTGCTTTCTGTTGATGTAAGCATGGATGAAGGAATGTTCTGAATCCTTTTTCTTAGTCAGCATCTTCCATCATGAAAACATGCGCACAATCTATGTTTTCTCTACTTATCATTTTTCAGTTTAGTGAATGAGTGCTAGTTTTTGTTGCTAGATTATTCAGTATTTTAGCATGGTCTGTACATTATTAAGCTTAAGTAATTCCTTCATTATGGAGATGGCTTTGCTTCTCAGACCCGAGTTTTGGGAGCAAGCTTACAGTTTTTTTGTGTGATTTATTTACGCTAAAACGGACGGACCTACCTCGCGAAAAAATGGACGAACCTGAATTTTTCCCGTTACCTGTTATGTATTGGCTATTATAATTTTCAGTATGCTTTCTTTATGTTCAGGCATTTTTCCTGCATGAGCACTGGTTGTTTTTTGGTGCAGGTTTCTTTTTTGTTGTAGTGCAGGTTCAAGGGTGTTCATTTTTCAGTAGACGATTTTCTTTTGCGTTGTAGTGCCTTCAATTAAGGTGTGTTCAAAGTCAAAATTTTCAGGGATCAGTCGAGCAGTAAAAAAAATTAGAGCGCCCCTGAATTAGTTTTTCTCAACACACATGAAGAAATCGACATCTACCAGGAGACGGGTCGGCTAGGTTGTGCGTTAGTTGTGAAAGATCGATGTGTCTCAAAGACGAAAGGGCCTACTTTTTGTTTAGTTCTTCTAGCAATGGCTATCGTTTAAAATGAAGTTCAACTTCTGCAAACTTCACTTCATTTTTTTAACTACAGTGCCTGAAAAACACTTATCCAATCAGGGAGTTTAGACAAATTGCTAAGTTGTGGTAGTATTTGTGTGTGACTCGTCAGGATTCAATAGCTCAATAGTCGAACTGTCACCTCCGCTTTGCGCCATAGTGGTCAGGGTTCCTATTGCCCTGTTGGAATTGCTTCATTCCTCTATTTGCATACCATGTCCATCCATCTCTTCTTCTTGATCCCTGTCCATAGTATTAAAATGTTGTTTAATTCTGTCCATTTTTGTTCACAGGTACTCATATTTGTATTGATTTTTTGATCCGTTCGAGCCCAGCTGCATTAACTTCATTCCAAGGACATTGTACCTGAGCTGATCAAAGTGGAACCTTTGGGTTTATTCATTTTCTTTCCTTCTTTCCGCCATCTGTCTATTATGTATTTATCTGGTATCTTATCTACCTCAAAGTGCAGCATCACTTTCAGAATATGAGAGCACAAAATGTCATATATTTTTCAAACTTGCAACAAATGCCGGAGTAATCCTCTTTCTCAGTATGAACTTGCACCACATAAAACCTTCTCCTATGTTCTTGTTTGTAGTCGCTCTTTGCCTAGAATACCACGTACTACTTCTTTTTACTCCTTTTCTCGGATTTAGAGTCTTGTTACATCATTGAGAATGAGCTGAAATTTTCTGAAGATGCTTATGTTGTACAGGCCGTGTGCTTGTCTCTTCATGTAATACTTAGTTGAGAATGAATTCCAGGAAACCTTTTTGTGCAGTGCACTGTGGTCAAGCTCATCCTCATTTTCTTCATTGATCATTGATCTCATTCCCAACAAAAGTTTCTATTGTTTCTTCATTGATCTCATTGTCTTCTTCATTTCAAGATTCCAGGTATGATTTTGTTCCCTCTCAACAGGCTCTTCTCTGTTTTCATTGTTTGTACCAACCTACAGGTGGGTGCGCGCGCGGGGTTCAATCATGAAAAGTGTGTCATTTTCTTAGTTTCTTTCTTGCTTTTATAAGGAGTAAAATTAATATCTTTTTCTTGTTGCCGCCATCCTTATATTTTCACATTTTCTTAGTGTCTTTTAAAAAATTGGCCAGGTTTAGTGTTTCTTTTATTGTGTGAGAATTTCTGATGATTAGTCACTCCCTAGAGGATACTGCCTATCTAAACAAGATGACATTAAAATCTTTAGAATTTTTTATCTGGCCGACGTTCCCTGTGAAGTTACTTCCAGCGAATAGCCTTGGAGCCGTTGGATCTGGGCGCACGAATCTTGGCACATGCCCCTACCATCGCAGCATCGAGCATCATTCGCTCTGGAACAAAAACCATATGAATGTCGTGTTCGAGACCCCCCCCCCCCCAAGGCACTCACCATCCCCACTCACCTACTTCATATACTTTATAGATACATTTGCTTGCTTAGTTTTTGAGACACTTCATTCAAACATGCAAATACATTTTTTATGTTGACTTTGCCATGTCAGTATTGACCAGGTGATTATTTAGCCGATACAAATTCATCTCTCATGCAGACACCACCCTTGTTGTCCTTGACCACCCGGCCATCCCATACGCATGGTAGCCAAAAGCCACATACATAGCAGTGAGCTTCCTAGGTAAGTCATTTATGTGAGCTTATACCCTGTTAGTTTACTCCTGCGAATTTGGATTGTGTAAAGCTGCTAAACTCTGGCATGGAATGTGGAAGTACACAAAGCTAAGTGTTGGCTCCTTATGTGAGCTTACATACCAAGCCACACAAGGCAGTTACCCATGACAGACAATTCCCGTATCACATGGCGGCAATTAACCTAGGGAGCATGACAAGGGAGATAAAAGAGTGACAATGATGGTTAAGCTTGTTACTATGGAGGTGATAAAGTTGGATACCTTGTAGATGGTTTAGGTGAGACCTACATATGGCACATGGCGACATATTTTGCTGTTGTTGTGACTCTATGTGTTTGCGTGTTTTTTGAAAAATAGTATGTTTCTCTAGAAATCAGAGCTTAAACTCTCTTAAAACTAGCT